TATATATAGCCAAACAAATATACCCACCAGTGAAACCAAACTTCTCCTCTATAGGTAGGGCAATACGCACTTTAGGTGTAGGTCAAGATTTCTGGAAACCCCCGAAATCTGGGTTAGCCCGCTTGTCCTAAAAAGCGACCATGTATTCATCATGTATCTTGTTCAAGCAGGGAACGTGACCAACAAACCGTCTCCACCGTCCTATGTACATCAACAGTACATATTGTACATTGCTTCCTCTTTGGTGATCTTCATACCAGAGAGGTCGAATACTAAATACATGTACCACGTACTAGCTGTCGAACCTGCACTAACGGCCTCGTGTCCAAACGACCAATTCCCACCAAACGCGTTTTTTTGTTTTCAACATAGAAAATGTGTGTGTTATATTATGACCCTGTTCAAGCCGTTCACTTGTCTAAGAGAACCATGACTTTACAGTGGAATCTGCTCTAAACTAACCAGCCACGTGCTGTCCACATGACTAGATCTAGTTGCCACCTTGCAGTGTTTGTTTTGGTTGGGGTTTTTTTTTTTTCTCAATTGGTAAAAAGTAAAGTTGTTCCCGCATCCGATCCGGACACTGGGGATTGCCTTGTTAGTGAGACAACTTCCTGGGCCTTCGGCATATTGTGGTAGGGTGGTCAGTTCCTTTCCACGCCGCCTTTATTTCCCTAACTCAAAGTCAGGTACCCATTACTGCCGGGTGGGCAGGAGGGGGCGAAAACAATCCGTGTCCGAACCGTGGCTCGAACCCGGACTTCTTCTCATCTTTTCAACGATGGGTGGCCCACTCTTGAGCTACAGTCGATTATTATAATATGCTCTGACAGTATCGTGCTGTCCACATGACCAATTCCAACCTTGCCGAGGTTTTTTTTTCAATCCGTGTATATAATGGCCCTGTCCAATCCGCTCACTTGCCAAAGAGAACAATGTCTTTACAGTGGAACCTACTCTGAACTATCCAGCCATGGGCTATCCACACGACCAATTCCCACCTCGCAGATTTTTTTTTTTTCCAATTATATATTATTTAGGCCTATACATATTTGAGAATAATGGCCCTGTCCATGACGTCCACTTGTCAAAGAGTACAAAGACAACTACTTTTCACCTCATCTTTCCAGCGACGGTTGACCCAATCTTGGATTACAGTCGACTCGAACCTATTCTAACAGCCACCTGTCCTAACGACCTTGCAGGGTTGTAGTTGGGTTTTTTTTTCAATAGCAATGGTAGACGTTAAACTTTATTGAACATTAATTTACTATGTTCTACTCTGAAACTGAGTTTTCCATAATGTGATGATCATTTACAGTTGACCCAGATTTTGAGTCGAGTACGTGCACATACATATGAAGAGAATGTTGCATAACACCATGAGGTTTTGATTGCGACTTCGTTATCAATGACAAAGAATTCTCAACTCTAACCATCACTTTCCATGTAATACAAGCCCGTCTGCCATGCGAGATCCCAGGCAACAATAGAAATGATGGATTTTGAGTCGAGTACTGTACATGTACTCAACTAGGGCAACCTAAATGTAAAGGTCAGCTCCGCTGATGCATGATTTTTTAATTTTTTTATTTTCATGGATTACATTTCCCCCCTGCCTTTGGACAGACCACAAATCTCTTAACGAGCGACATTTGCAATTCGCCTCTCTACAGCATCCACACAGCTCCAGCCATCAGTGAAGTGTCCCAATAAAAGAAAGAAGTGAACATCTGTCGGCTGCAGGCTTACTAAACTGCCAATGTGTCTCAGTTTTATGTGTCCTTCAGTTGAATTTCAGAGCGTTGTTTTGAATTGTTGATTAGAGGGGTTTTTTAGTATCGTTTGTTTTATGGCACTTGCAACACAATAAGGTCATGTAAGTGCTGAAGATTAGAGTAGAGTAGTTACAAGAGAGTAACAAACACAAAAAAGAAGGAAAAGTTCTGAGAAGAGATCAGGACAATAGATGTTTGATTTTGATAGAGGAAAGAAAGATCGGATCGAACCACACGAAGACACCCATCAACCACTCAGTAAGATTTTAGTTTAGTTTTAGTTTCAGTAAGAATTTTATGGAACTTGCAACACAATAAGGCCATATAAGTGCCGAAGATTAGAGGTGTTACAAGAGAGTAACAAACATAAAAAAGAAGGAGGACAGATAAAGACGATAGATGTTTAATAGGAAAGAAGTAGCAAACCACACCAGAGCACCCGCCAACCACCCACAGTAAGATTTTACAGCACTTGCAACACAAATAGGTTATGCAAGTGTCGAAGTCGAAGATTAGAGGAGTTACAAAAGGGTAACATACAATCAATTGAAACAAAGGACAAGAGGAGGAGAGACGAAGACTACAGATCTTTGATATATGAAAGAAGGACCTCCAACCACATTTCACCACCAACGGTACAGACAGTTTAGTTTTTTACGGCACTTGCAACACAATAAAGTCATATAAATGCCGAAGAATAGAGGTGTTACAAGAGAGTAACAAACACAAAAAAGAAGCGACGAGAGATAAAGACGATAGATGTTTAATAGGAAAGAAGAAGCAAAACCACACCAGAGCACCCGCCAACTACTCATTCAGTACAGACAAGCACAACAGAATCACTGAAAATCTGAAAAGGAAATAGAGAGAAAAGACTATTGAAGTCGTAGCAACCAATTACTGCTCCAAGGAGCCATGATGATGAAACGATAACTGAAACAAAAAAAAGGAACAGGTTGGATTATAATAAAGACCGCTTATTTCAGAACACACAATCACTTAAGAAACAAATCGGATTCGTCAAGAACATATTTTTTATTTAATGCAAACAGTAAAAAACTGTAATAAATAAGTATATATATAATAATTTAATTATGTGCATCAATCCCGCAATCATGGGATAGCTACATAAAAATTTGATCATTTGATTGACCTACAAAGAACCCTCTTTATGCGCAAATCATTATATCCTACAGAAGATAATCTTTACCACCCACTACCCCCTGCGTACAGATACAAAACTACATAAAATCACCAGAATAAAATTATAACCTTATAACATGTTAGTGTTACTCCACCATGTTAACCACCACAAATCTAGTAGTAGTGTTTTTTAAAAAAATATTCTAAAATTATCAAAAATTGAAAATAGGTATACTAATAATACTAGTACCCTTGAAGCAACAGCCCCATTGGAAATCTAAATTTGCTGTGGCTGAACTGTTTCCAATAAATAAATTAAACAATCAGTGCAACATTTGGATTTTGAATTAAGTTATCATAGAAGTAAATATAGCCTAATACACGTATACGTGTATACATGACAGGGTCTTCAGCACCATAAAATTCAATTACAACAATCATGACCCAAGTAAACACATAAATATTATGTGTATTGAACACACAACTCTCCACACACAACTCTTTAGTTTTCATAAGAGTTTTACGGCAGTTGCAACACATTTAGGTCACATAAGTGCCGAAGATTAAAGGTGTTACAAGAGAGTAACAAATACAAACAGGAAGGAGGGGAGATAGAGAGGATAGATTTTTTAAAGGAAAGAAGGAGTAAACCACAGCAGAGCACCCGCCAACCACCCACTCCCACGGGACTCCTCTGGAGTGGACAAAGTGGTGTGCAGCGTGTGAAGGCAAGCCAGTGGGAGGAAGAACATTTCATTGACCACTTTCACCCAAACACAATCAGCGACACATTCAGTCTCGGCACACACTTTCACCCAAACACAATCAGCGACACATTCAGTCTCGGCACACACTTTCACCCAAACACAATCAGCGACACATTCAGTCTCGGCACACACTTTCACCCAAACACAATCAGCGACACATTCAGTCTCGGCACAGAGTCCTCACCCGGCTACACAACAAGTAAGACTTACACACTTTCTGATCCCATTTACAGACAATTTATAAGACGATCAGGTCACTGTATCACTTTCCTGAACAAATATCATACATTCACAGCTCCCTCTTCGCAATAAATAAGTTTTGTTTGTTGCATAATGTCTAGGCAGTTCTATGCAGATTGATTTCCAAATAGTACTGACACTCACATTCATGCCACTATCTTATTATTTTTAATTTTAAAAAAATATTTAAAAAAGCAAATTCCAGGGCAGAGGAAAAGCAAGTCCTGATTCACTGCATCTTGAAAGATGTTCATTGAAGGCATGTTGACATTCAATTATTTTTTTTTATATTATACTATGAATACTACCATAATATACCATATATTGTCAGAATCTTAAAAACACAGACCAAGTCTAAAGAAAATAAAATGTGCAGTAAGCCTTAAAAGTTATTTTACTTGAAAAAACAACAACTCAGTGTACAATAATGCCTCCCTAGATTGAGTGCATAATTTATGACTACAAATGTCTATCTAAAAGAATGGAGGAAAAAAAAAGGACTAAAAATCACAATAGGTAAGACATGTAATATATTGCACAAATCAAGCATCAACAGACAGTGTCTGTTCATCAAGTCCTCTTATCACAGAAACCCAAAATCTAAAGGACCTAACCCCTCCCCCCCAATCAAGACATACAATTTTTCTGTTCCCAAGAGCTATCAGTGGTTGCAAGGTTCACCGTAATATCTACATTGTTAGATAAATGACTGACAGCCCCCTTTAAATACAGGCAAATAAGTGTTCTGCTACATTCTTTTATTCGTAGTTTGAAATATGAAAAAAAACTACATAAATTAAGAAAACAGATGACTATCATTTAACAATTTATTCATTCTTTTAAAAAAGGTCCTAGCAATACGCTTCTTCAGATGATGCACACTAAGTTCTTTAACTTAAACAGGATTTGATTTGGACAACTTCTCTATCAATCTTTCTATTCATGATCAAAATATTTCAGACACAAAATGCTGACTTGCACTTGCAGAAATTCAATCCCCGAGCTGGCAAAAACAAGCATACAACTGATCTGATCAAAACAAATCTACATGAGCAATCACCAACCAAAAGTTGGTTAATATAACAAACTTTTAACATTTTCGTCTTTGCAGACAATTTTCAAAATTTAATTTTTTTCCATGAAAAAAGGCAGAAAAATTAAACGAAACAAAATAACACCTTTAAATGGTTTACTTTAAACTTAAAACTTTGGTTGTTGTAATGTAACTTAAAATTTTTTTAAAAAAATCAAGTAAGTACAGATGTGTGCATTTAAAGTTTGAGTGTGTACATCAGAAAAAAGACATTTAAATGCTCTCTAGCACATTACATTGTTTGGTTGTAAGAAACATGACACTACCCCAAACAGGTCGACAAAGTCACGAGTGTTTTCGACAAAGTCACCAGGGTTTGCTTCTCGCACATCATAAACTTAAACCACCAGTCTTGAAGAGAGAACAGAGATGAACAACATAGCAACACTACAGAGAAGACTAGTCGCTGTACACATGAATAATACTGAAGCACATGAGGTGAGGAATAATAAATAAGGTGATATATATATATACACGAGTATCAAAAAATTAAAATGAAAAGATCTTCTCGTGATGAGGGCATTGCATTGTGTGTGTTGCACCATCCAGATCATACTCATACCAGGACTTTTTCATTATTGGAATTTACAGTACATTTATAATCTGAATCCGTTAACTTTCAGGTCTGGGTAAGCAGGTAGAAGCCAAATAAGGACTGAATAATGGAGTAAAAAAGCAGCGAGCCACTACACAAAACTAAAAATTTTAAAAATTAATTAATGAAACCCTTCCCCTACACCATTACTATGAGAATGGACATTTGTCAAGAAAAAATTGTTAACAAAACAAGTGACTGCAACCATTCTTTTGGAATGATTAAATCAACTTCTAATACGCTTAGAAAATATATAAACATAAAAAAGACCCTTCACAAGAATTAATTTTGAAATAGACATATGAATTATTGTACTTACTTTACTTTACTTTTCCGATCCAGCGGCCATTTGGGAATAATTATAACCAGTTTGGCAATTTAAGAGTAGGGGCCTAACTATATTGGCATACGCACACAGACAATTTTCCATCATGTGAACAGAAAAATCTAGGCCTGAACAGGAAAGCCTTCAAGTGAATCCTTTATCATGTCCACTACACGGCAAGAAAATGAGAATTGATAACCACTACTAGTACTTCAGATTTTCATTTAAAAAAGCAAAACAAACTACCAGCACCATAACTACCAAGATCAATTTGAACTAAAATAGAAAAACCCTTAAATATTGCGATCGCTGCTGTGAACCACAAGATGCTACAAATTCTGATGAAAAAGGACTAGCATACATCCACAAAATGTATTCAATATTATAAAAACAAAATATCATAACAGTGAAATATAAAAAGGGGGCTCATTTTATGACCTTTAGCTATTTTGAAATCAGTTGCTTTTTGACATCCAGGCTGATGATTTTTTGCCATTGTTGTGGCGGCGAAGATGCTTGGCCAAGTGGTCACTGCGCATGAATCGCCGCTTGCAAATATCGCAAATAAATCGTTTCTCTCCGGTGTGCGTTCGATGATGACGTGATCGCTCATCTGATCGGGCAAAACTTCTGTTGCAGCCTTCCCAGTCACAGACAAATGGCTTTTCTCCTGCAAAAAAACCCAAAACAAACGTACACCGTTAGCTTGGAAAGACACTGGTCGACTGTGGGGATTCTCAGTTTATATATATATATACTATCTGTACTCTTACAAAGAGGAACACTCTGACTCATTCTGAGGAGTTGCCTCTTACAAAATAAAATATAAATTAGCATACTTCCCTCTATATATAAAAATAGAGGAAAAAAAATACAGATAGACAATTAATATGCCTTTGACATTCAGGTAAAAAATTAACTTTTAATTAGGCCTCCATTCAGAACTCCAACATGATCCATGGTCTCCATGCTCAGTGGAGCCACATTTGGGGCTGACTGAACAACAATATAGTGTGAAATACAAATTTAACATTTTAAAAAGGGAGGGGGGGGGGGGGGAGAGGTTCCAAATATAATTAAAAGAGGCATTCCATCCAAATTACTTAAATGCCTAAAACAGAAGAAAGAAGAACAACTTTTTACAGGTGACTAAAATACAAGTGTTGCACATCTTTTGAGTATTTGTACGGTTGTACTGTAGTCTCAAATGAACTAAAGAAAGCTTAACAACTCACACAACATACAAACGACAATGTCACAATAACAGAATGGAACAATACAGAAGAAACTTTAAGTTTAAGATGCAGACCACACAAGAGCAGCCACCAAACGCTCATTCATAATTATTTTGATGATAAAATTTTTTAACCCCCCCCCCCAAAAAAAAAAAAAAATCATAAAGGCACTCACTGAATTTGTCTCTTCCCAGCCCCGCCCACCATGAAAAACCCCCAAAAAGGCACTACGATTGTTTTAAATTACTTTCAATCAACGTAACATGTCTTACCTGTATGTGTGCGGATGTGGGCTTTGAGATGAGAACTCTTGAAGTAAGTCTTCCCACAATCGGGTACGTGACACTTATGTGAGCGCCGCCGATGAAGGTCACTGAGCGAGACATCGTCAGATCTGGACTCCCCAGTGGCCACAGACACTGGTGCAGGGGCGATGGGATGAAAGTTAGCAGACTTTGCCACCATGGAGAATGTAGATAAAGCAGACCCTATACTGCTGGCAGAGCTGGGCTGAGTTACTTGATTCATGACAAAGACTTGAACAATAGGAGGCGCCGCATCCGCTCCTCGGTTGGATATTTGCAGGAGAGGAACGGTCATCTTATCCGACGGTAAAATCATAACAGGCACACTTGATGCGTTTTTCTTTTCGAATTGAGTATGTGGTTGTTGGACTAGATTTGGTGGTGAAGCTGTGCTGAGTTTCTGCTGACTGTGGAAGAGGGGATATTTAGTGCTGTGGTTTGGTCCAGGTGTTGACGATGGGGAGAGACCTGGAGTTGAAGAGATGCTAGGGGTGCAAGAACAGTTGGAACAGTTGGAACATCCGTCTGAAACACTGTCAGAGTAGTTGCCATGAAGAGGCGTAGAGTCATTTGAATACTCAAGTGCACAACGTAAGTTCACTGAATTGTCCCGTGATGAACTCTGAACTGATGGGTGCAAAGGTAATGGCATAGTCATGGTAACCTTAGCAGGAGGGTGCGCAGCATTCTGTGGTTCTGGTTTGTGGGTTTCACTGACCTTTTCCTGATCAAAAGTGTCACCATAGTTTTTAAAAGAGATAAATTTTGAATCTGTGCTCCGTCTGCTCTCTTGAGAATTGACAGAAATATAATCTGACTTGAGAGCAAATTCAAGATGAGAACCACCCGGTTGTGAAGGAGAGTCACTGCCAGATGAGGGCCCGTCTGAAGGAGAAGTACAGCTCTGAGAATTTTGATCTCCACTTTGCAAAGAAGGCGGCGGCGGGATGAAGAACTTGGGGGGCGGCTGAGAATTGGAGAGCTCGTCATCGTCTTGCAAGTAACTGGAATGCAACGGTGACTGACCAGCGTCGTGACTAGAGCCAGGATCAAGCGGAGTGAGACATCGTGGAAGTTCGTCTGCAAAGTACGGTGTGAGTGGACGATGAGCATCCAAGGTGCAGGACTCGCAGGAGCAGGAATGACCAAAGTGGGATAATGGCGTGGTGGGTGTCAACGGTCGCATTTGATCCAAAGGATAATAATGTTGGAATGTTTCCTGATTGTACGTAAAGGAACTAGCTTTCTCAGCGAGTGAAATGGATAGGTCAAGAGCTTTGTCCCCAGAGACAGAAGTGCTTGCTGAACACGACGCTCGATGAGGAGATTTTGGACGAGAAAATGTTGAAATTGAGGTGATATTGTTCTCAGCACACATTTCTTCAAATCTCCTTTTGTGTCCTCTAAATATTTTCTGGGACGATGATTTTGATGTAGATGAGGATGCTGACTTGGGTGAAACATCTACTTCTAATTTGGTAGGTGAAGCCGCTGACGCTGTAGCTGATTTTGATGATGGCGATGGTCTTGGAACAATGACTGGAACGGATTGACTTTGGAAAGCTGCACCAGATCCCATTACAAAATTGTAGTTGCTTGGGTTTTTCCCTTTCAAAAGCTGAAAAAATAAAAACAAAATGCAAGTTTAATAATCAAGAAATATCTTGTAGGTTTGTCGATTTATAAGCACAAAGCAGCTATCCCGAAATAAGCTCTTTTGAGAAAATCAAAGGTGAAGTTTTTGCTCCTTGTTCAGTTTCTTTAAAAAAGACAAGGAGGGTTTTCTCTATTATCAAACAAATACACACATACCAATGAAACCAAACTTCTCCTCTAAAGGTAGGGCAATGCCCACTTTTGGTGTAGGTCAAGATTTCTGGAAACCCCTAAAATCTGGGTTAGCTTAAAAGCGACCATATATGTGGTATTGGTTCCATGTGCTCAAGAAATATTTTGTTTAAAGTCAAATTCCAAATGTTAAAAAAGCAAAAAAAACCCAATAACATAATATTAGAGGTACATTTGTGAAGAGAAAAACTCACTTCTTTTCCCTCCCCCAAAAACATGGATTCCAGGGCTTAGATCTAGGGCATTTTAACAGCTTGCCAACATCATCATCGTTATACTACTTTCAAGTCAAGCGACCTTTATGATCAAGAAACTTAGTCGAGGAGAAAATTGTTCTTCCAAAATTAGCCATGCTTTTTAAGACTTTGTATGATGAAAATACACTTTCATCTAAATATATTACAATTACATCAGTCAGACATTATAACAGAAAAGACAACACACAGCCACATGTCAGGAAGGAATGCAATTTATAAAATCTTAGGCCAAAGAAGAAAACAGTATCTACCTGTTCCAGAGTGCTTTGTTTTCTCAGCGGAGGGGCTGGAGGGATTTGGTTCCCCTTGTTGTTCTCTTCCCTGTCCGGTAAAACATTTGCCATGAAAAGCAAGGACTCTGCAACATCCCGCTCCACGCCATGACAGGGAACTGAGCTCTTCATCTGTAATTGGTAATTAAAATTTAATTAGGCCTTATTATAATCATAATATTATGATATATGACGTTTTGAATTCTAGATCAGAACCAGACTGGTGAAGAAACCTTGCCTTACTTGCTTTCAAACCTTAAACAAAAACTCTAAAATGTTTGTTTTTTTAACCCAAAAACAAAAAACCCACATCACCTCTTTGCTAAATCAAATTTATGAATATCAGTCCTCAGTCAGTTCTTATCCTGACTTCCTGAACCTGCTTTCTCTAACCAAGATATCACGTTACTAAATAAATGACTACTAAAATCGAGGAGGTCTGGTTTGGACCACAAAATAAATAGGCCATAAATAATTACCAATAAAAACGATTAATAGATCTAGATTCTAGATCAAAATCTAGATTTCTAGATATAGATCTAGATTCTAGATCTAGATCTAGATCTACTTCTGTCAGACGATACAGCATGAGCAATGTGTCTGGCTCTGGAGTCTGGCATCCATCTGTCACCAGGGCCAGGAAGAAAGGACCGAGTTCGTCCTAAGAATAAAAATCTAGAGAGTCTAGGCTAGGACATATTCCTTGATCTAGATCTAGATCTATATATAACAACAATAAAAAGTACTTATCATAAAGAAAGCAACTGGAAGTCTAAAATGTAACAAGGGTAACACAAGCAATTACATTTGAGATTGAAGTGAATGAGTCAAACGATGCTAAATAATCTTTTAGACAAGCGGACGCTCAGATGTCTGAAGAAGAAAACACTCTACATTGTAGAGGGCCTGAGGATAAAGCGGTTACAAACTTCAGTTAGATCAATCAAAACATACCTTGAAGTTTACTGAAGACGTTTGATATATGATGGAGACGTCAAGAAATATTTGTCACGTCCAACAACCGTGTTCATGTTTCGGTCTGTTGTCTGTTATGAAGTTAGAGCGAGCATGGGTCTATCATTTACCTACAACGCCTCCTGAATAGTAAATTTTCAAGGCGAGGGCGGGGACGCATCGGCCAATAAACGAAAGGGGGCATGGCCCGTTCGACCAATCAGCGAGAATTGTTCATGTGATCAGCGAGTGTGTCGGGTGTCCTTGTGTGCGTGGTTCTGAAATGGGAGTTCGTGATGACTCTTCGTCAGTGTTTACATCACGTGGCGTGCGCATTCCCCACACAGATTTTTGATTGGCCAGGTCCAAAGAACAGGTTTCATCAGCTTCAGTCTCATCCAATCACGAACGATTTATTTTTGTGTTACTTCGTCAAGGAAGGGCTTCCCCCGTTACAATAACGGTGTCAATGTGGCTCCTTTTGAGAAACACTGCGCCAAGAAGATAGAATTGAATGATTCTGAAAACTTGGAACAGAAAGAACAAATATATGAAGTGCTTTGTTTATCCCAATAGCATGAACAACGTTTATTTACTCAAGGACCCACACAAAAGACTATCACAAAAATACAAGTCCTGCGTGATCCAGATTAGTATCTGGGTCAAGGGAGTGCACGCAAACTGGGCTGACGGAGATCCCACGCTCTGAACTCTGAACCTCGTCTGACCTTGCTCGCTGGCTGACATGCTGATAAGAGAGAGAATCGATCCCGTGTATTTTATAACTCTTTTGGATGGTTATGTTTTGCTGATTGCTGTGGAATGAACCACAACAGAACCTAGTTGAAAATTGGAGTGACTGATACAGATAACGCCGTTCCGCTCTTTACCAGGTCCCATCCCTCGTATTACACAATGTAATTTTCCTTTCTTTGTTTTTCTTTACTGGCTCCCTTCTCGGTCGTGGCATCCATTAGAGAGGAGCAGGATATGAGGTCGACTGCACCGCGACGTTGTGTCTGGGCAAAGAGGTTATTATGTGATGTAACAGTGTAGTGCAAGGCCAGTGCAAGGTTTGGCACTGGGGTGGTTACATCACCAGCGATCGTGACAACAGAGGAACCGAAACACACACTTGCAGACACACACTCGTGCACACACACATACACACTCACACTTACACACACACATACACACACAATATACACACAATATACACACACATATACATACATACACACACATACACATGATATTGATGATAGTATAATGTTGCAAGCTTAAAGTGCTATCAGATACTAACACTAACGACTAACACCATTTATTTTCCCAGATTTTGCACATAAGATATACCACTGGAAAGCAGTGGAATCCATTTGAAAATAACCGGAGTTGGTGCAGAATGAAATTCTAAGAAACGCAGTC